AGAGTCTTAAGTAAATCCATATGCTCCTTTTCCACAAATTTTCTTTGGTTGTCAGTGAAGAATACATTTCAACATTGGTACTGGTAAAAATAGACTATTCACCTGCAGTTTCCTGATTCTAAAATGTAATGAATTTGCAAGCACCTAAGCGTGGTGTTGGAATATTACTGGCAAGTTTCTCTGTTTGAATGTATGCATTTATATCAAGGGTTTCTCATTTGGTTGCTGTTTTAGAAAAATCTATGTGTTATTTGTACATACATTAAGACTCGGAACAGTGAAAACCAGTTAAAACATACATGAAATTGCTTCCAACCCTTCTTTGCCCAAAAGCATGTATAACTATATGCAGATTTTGCTTGGAAAGTAGCCTTTTACTTTTAATTTTTTTAATTCATTTTATTGAAACACCATTAACATGCGACTGTATTATTTAATATTTGTTTTGAAAAGAAAAGAAAACCCATTAATTTGTAACTATTTTATTCATCACAACACATTTGATCAGCCATTTATGAGAGAGCTGAGTATTTTCTATATATAAAAGTAATTGCCAATTGTGGTTATCAAATACTTAATGTATCTAAATAAGAAGCTGGTTGAATCTTTTAAGAATTTTTAATCACATTATCATGCTGGCTTCACGATAGTATTTCTGTGTGTGGTTTTTTTTATATCTTTTTATATGTAGAAATTAAAAGTTATCATTATATCCTTGTCTTTCAGATGATAAGGTTCCATGCTGGTGCTCTTCCAGTCTATGTTGTTTCTAATATTCTTCTTACTTACGGAGGACAATTGAGCACACTGGTATCAACAGGTAGCTTTTTAGAATCTTTTTCTTCTATCAAGTGTTTTTAGAGAAATTGCCCAATTTACTGTTGAAAGACTAGCTGGCTGGTATGCATTGAATGCTCCATCCCTGGTGGTGTTCAAGGCCAGGCTGGACAGAGCCTTGGGTGACATGGTTTAGTGTGAGATGTCCCTGCCCATGGCAGGGGGGTTGGAACTAGATGATCTTAAGGTCCTTTCCAACCCTAACTATTCTATGATTCTATGATTCTATGATTAAGTATCATTGAACTTGTGCATGTACTTGGATCTGTTTTCTTCAGTTCCAGTTTCTGTTGGCAGTCCTTCTAGGTTGTGGTGTAGCAGAATATTTCCTTATTGTTTTACTCTGCTGTGCCTTCTTTGCGAATGATTGCTGTTGCACAGTATTTTGGGATTAATGGAAGTCTACTAAAAAATACATGTAAAAGTTTAAAACATTGTTAACTGCACAAAACACTTTATTTCTTGCATGAAGATGAGAGTCGCAGACTAACTTTCAGACATGTCTTCAGGCAAAATGCATTTCTATTTAAATTCAGGTGGTGTTCACAACAAACACTATAATCGCTCTAGAAGCTCTGGTGACATTACCTAAAATGGGCAATGCAGTGCATAAGGGCTTTGATGATGAAAGATGACTTGCAGTACTGCTATTAGACAGTTACCTTGATTTAAAGTAAACTTTCAAACCTTTGTCTGAATTTACTTTTTGTTATGTACCTTCTTTGTTAAAGTTCATGGCAAAATAGTAACTATAGATGCTTTCTGTTCTTGATTCTAGGCCAGTGTTCAGACTTTTCCCTTGAACTAGTTAGGACAGCTAAACCCTACAAAGTAGAACCTCTTATAAGCATTGTTGTGTTTCTGCAGGGGTGAGTTTGCACAATTTATTTATTTAAAGCAGTTTCCAAAACAGAAATTTCAGTAAGAATATTGGTGGGGAGGAATATTATTTTATCTGTAGTAATTGTGAATACCTTGCTGTGATTTTATGTGCTGTTGTAGGAGGAATTATTGATAGATATCTTACTGTAATGGCAATTAGAAATGGTAAGTAATTCTGCTTTCATGTTTTTGGCAGGTTTAACTGGTTTAGAGAGATACGGGAATCACTGTCACTACCAGAGATGGATGCTGCTGTACTGAGTAGTTGGGATGCATGGTTCCCCCTTGTGTCCCTGATTCTATTTCTCTTTGGGACAGGCATTGCCTACTGGAGTGGAGTATTTTTCTCTACATCTCTGAGACTCTTCTCGTCACTATGGTTAACTCTGATGAGGTAAAACATCATTACACTGTATAATTATGCTCTTTTAGGTGATTGTGACCCTGTCGATTTTTTCTGTTTGCTTCAGTGTGAATACTTGGGAATATTGAATTCTTCAATACCTGATTTTAGACACCTGGGTTTGTCATTGTTAAGTACTAATGAAGTATGAATATTACCTCATATTCCTTCTTCCACATTTCCAAAAGGGAATATAAATGGCTTTCTCATTTTCTTCACCAGCTGTAATAAAGGTTTTCAGTTTGGTTTTGAGCAAAGATTGTTGGGGAAGAAGCAGCTGACCTGTTCTTTTCAGTAGCTCAAAAAATAAGTGTGTGTAGTTAGAAAGGGACTGTAAGCACTGCAATTCACTCCTTATTACTTATATTGGATAAACTGCATTAAAGAACCCAGAGGTTTGTAAAACAAAACCTTATATTTCTACCAAATAATAGATGTGGTGTCAGCTATTTCTTTCAGCCATCTTGTTTCTAAATTACAGTGGATGCTTCAGTATTAGTTTTAAGAGACAAAGTGATGAACTTCCAAGTTTTGGAACAACTGTTACTTAATTTTTAAGGGGTTTAGCTCAATTCATACTATTTTCATTAAAGTTTTTTGTTTCCTGCAAATTCCAAGAATGTCCTAGGTAGAGGCAGGAAAGTAGGATTTTTTGTGCCCAAAGTAAGTCAGCTGGTTCGTTTTGAAATTCTAGTGCCTTATACAATTCTAATGCATTACACAGTTTTTCATCTTCTCCCAGATTTTTTTTGGGGAAAAAAAATAAACCCAAAACATTCATGTTCTACAAATCTTTCCAAAGCAGATAGTATTTACTTGACTTACGTGCTGTGTTCTGAAATGACCTGATATGGCCAGCAGCAAAGAACTTGTCACTAGGTGTCTGTGGAATTTTTTGTTCTTTTCAGCTAGCCTTTTTTGTGGAGGGTGTTTGTTTCTGTTTGGTGTCTTTTTTTGTTATTGGTTTTTTAATATTTGTTGCAAAGGCTTTTAAAATTGTATTTTCCAATGCTTTTTCTGTTCTCAATGCCTATTTTAATATTGGATACATGAATGTCCAAGAAGTACAGGCTTTTTCATAGTTCTATTGCACTTCCTCCCCACCGCGTTCCCCTCATTGTCACACCTTCTGTCCTGGGTTCAGCTACAGCAGT